CACTATGTATAACATATGCTTTTATCATAGACGTACCTAAAGATGGGTATGATGAAAATATTTGAAATTTTCACAAGAAATTATTCTTAACCATATTCAAATCCTTTTAGAGTTTTTATTAGAACATTGTAAAATCTCTAAGAAAAAAACTCATTGGAATCGAAATGACATCATCTGAATGAGTCTCTCGTAAGTTTAATGTTTTACAAAAGAATTCTAGAGAAGGAAAAATAATATTGAGAAAAGCACTAATGTTTTTTTTTCGGATCATTCCCATGTAGAAATGTTTCTATCGATATCTTAATTAAATAATTTATCTCGAAATCACCAAACTTTAGTGTTAATTTCTTTCTTAAAAAAATCTCATTTCGAAATGCAAAAAATATATTAATTTTCTTATTTTAATTGCTATAGATTTATGCAATGTTTGGTATTCCGTTGATGTTTATGTGTTTAACATACACGGGTGATTTATTAGCTGATGCTTTTATAACTTGTTATTCAAAAATGGTTAATTTTATTTATCAACATCTATGTTATCGACGATTAAATTCTTCGTTAGATTTTAAGAGACGAAAAAGTTTTGAACAACCTGATGTACGAAAATATTTTGATACGTAAAAATCCTTTTTTTTCAAAATTTTTTTTCTTTAGTCTGAACATGAACAAGCTCGACATGTACCAATTGTAGCTACATTAGGTGTTCTTGCATTATATATTGCTATGGGTGCATTTCTTTTTGCTCAATGGGAAAATTGGCATTTACTTGATGGAGCTTATTTTTGTTTTATAACATTTACAACAATTGGTTTTGGAGATCTTGTACCAGGTAAAGGTACAGTTACAGAATCAAAAGCAGGTAAAGCAGCAATGTGTGCATTATTTCTTTTGTTTGGCATGATTGTTATGGCAATGTCATTTAAATTAATGCAAGATGAAATTATATCAAAATTTCGTAAAATTGCAAACAATTTTGGTTTTGGAAAACGTCATACAAATGATCCAGGCTAAAAAACACAATCTAGGTTAATTTTAATCAAATAGTTTGCCTTTCTTTTTTTCTTTGCTTGTCTGTGATTTTCTATGCATGTTCTTGTTTGTTTTTTTTTTCTGTGTGCTCTTGTCTTTTGTATTTATTTTTGTTCAAGATAAAAATTTAAAAGTACATCATCAATATTTTTGATCTAGTTTTTTCTTTGTTTTGTTTTTTCTTTTGATAATACTGATATTATTAACAAATGTAGATTCAGACATATATATGTACATAATACGTTTGTTTTTGTACTTTATTTGACATTTAAAATAATAAGAGTCTTTTGAAATAGATGTTGTTATGCTTAAAGATATTAACTTTGAAAGTAGGAATAAACAAAGTGAGACAATAGAAATATATTCACTAGAAATTAGACATTTGCTCGAAAATATTTACGATGAGTCCGTCAAGTACAAAAAATTATTTTGGATGAAAAATTTTAGTATTATCAATATTTATACATCAGTTTGTAGATTAGAAGCTATTCTATAAAATATAATATTTTTGAAGAGGTTTTTTTGTCTTGCAACGAAGTATTTCAATTTTCGTTTTTCTTAAATATTCATTTTTACAAATATCGACAGCTATTTTACATTGAAAAGGGCTTTTGAAAAATGTTCGTAACCACACTTGAGTAAAGACTACAGCTAAGTTGAAGGTCATATTTTGTAGAACAAAAATCTATTGACTAATCATTAAAACTAATTTTTCAGGTATTTCCAAAATTTTCTCACTACTATAAAAAAAAACCTAGGACAAAACTTCTAATCCCATATTCGAAAATAATACAAAACCATAGCTTTTAACTAATCGAATATACTTTCTAGCAGATTATAAGTGAACAAACATCTTGTCTAAATTTTTTCGATCATTCATTTACGAGTTAGAACCAGCCAGGAAGAACAAAAAAATTTATTAGACCATTTTCTGTAGATTGTCAAATACAGACATCCTTCTATATTTGTAACGCAAAAATTCATTGATATAGTTCATTATCAATAAGATAAGTGTAATATTCAAACTTTGTTATTAAGTTTGAATGCATGCCTACTTAAGCATCTTTAAAATAAAAATTTATAAGTATTCAGTCAAATACGAGCATAAATGTCAGAAAAGCCTTTATCATTTCTAGCATTCGACTTCATGAACTTTATTACTCAGAAGACAACATATAGTAGTGATGAGATATGATCAATGTATGATGATGTTATGAATCTTTTCAAATGAAACTTTATTGTATTCTTCTCTGTATGTCTTAAATATGATTACATGTCTATTTAAGACTTCCTTAAAATGGGTTTAAACAAGAGAAAAAACTCTTCTGTGATTTTATAGAAACCTATATGTTCAAAAATGACTACTATCAAGCCTGTGTATTACTAATGAGAAAAGCATCGGAAGTATTCAAATCTATTTTCATTCGTTCACACTTCATTCGGTAGATTATAATGAGATAAGATAGAGCCTTTCAAGGATCGGGTTTATAGTCTATTGGTAAACAATTATGACCGATTTACTGAACTTTTTATTGAGAGACACTCATTTCCAAAAATACCAACTTGAAAATTTTTGGCTTGAAAGTTCACCCGTAAATATATTTAATAGTCATTCAATAGTTCAGTAGGTTTCAATGAAAGACATGTTCGTTGTCGTTTTTTTCGAAAACATCTGACTCCCAATAAAAAAAAAGCTGTACAGATTAACAGTAAAACTCCAACCCAATTACATGCTAGCAATAGTAATACTCCATTGGATTTCGTCATCTATCAAAATGTATAAGAAATTAAAATGAAAAACTTATTTCAAACAGTCAAGTATATATATTAAATATTATACTTTGAGATAAAATCTTTTCATTAGAATTAAAATATTATGTTAAATAGGAAAGAGTATATTGTAAATTTGTTTACAAAATACGAATAACATCAGTTCATATACTAATTGTATAATTTTGTCAGAGGACGCTAGAAGTCGGAGACAAATGAATATTGACAATTAGTATTTATCATTTATTTACCGAACGGTTATTCGTTTTAACCTATCAAAATTTTGTTCATATATATTATATTTAAATTCTTTGTTCATATAATTTTCAATTTAGTTTTTTTTTTCTATTAATTTCTTCTATTCGAGACAAATGATATTTTTATCACCTATATTTAAATAATTAAATGTCTAGTGTTTTCAATAGACGAAGTACTAATCGTTTGATATACATAAATGTTCATTGATATTGACTGTGATTATTACATTTACATTGTTTTTTATTGTTAGTTGTCTAAATTGATGTCGGTTACTTGAGGGTAATCATGTACTCGGTCGTTGACTGTTTTTTTTTTTTTATACATATGTTTGCATATTTACTTACCCCATTCATATGATTTTATTCTACGAGTCGAACATATGTATATACAAGTTTAACTTGACCTTTCATATATATATATATATATTTCTATGTTTAACATTAGCTTGTATGATAGAAAGAAGGAACATTTCCTTCTGCTAAAATGATCTGTAGAAAGAAAAAGAACAGAAAAATGAACAATATTTCCATCTTCTTCTATCTAATTGGATACATATAAAAGCAAAAGAAAATTCCTTTTTCTTATTTCTTCATGGTCATATTTCTTAAAGATGTTGAATCAATTGTTGAAAAAAGAAAAGAAAATCCTTGTCTTGTCACATTTTTCTAGATATATATATATAAAAACGATACATTATATTCAAATACGACAGAAATTCCGAGACACAGACGACAATATGTTATGCATCAACGACATTCAACAAAACGATATATGTAATGATAATGATATTTTCATACAATTGTTGCATGACGACAACAATGTTATAATACAAATGTGAACAAAAAAAAAAAAAAAAAAAGTGAGACAGACAAGATGCTAAAACGTGCTTACAATTCTTTTATTCAGATCAGACAGACAATTTAACATGTAATAGAAAAAAAAAATTAGTCGACTGTCTACGACGATCATTCTTTTTCTCTTTCTTTCTCTTATTATTACTTCTCGCGTTCATTAAATGTCAAAGAAGACGAAAAGAATTGTGTGTCTGTGTGTGTGTGTGTGTGTGTGTGTGGACGGAGGTCGAGAAGAAAACAGCATGATGATTTTTATACTATACTATTGACCGTAGAAGCTGTTCACTACTCGTTATTATTGCCCTTGAAATAGAGACTGATAGTATTTTTTTTTTTTGTTTAATGTATTAATAGAAAAACGCTTCTAGTTGTTTTGTTTTTATTTTTAAAATAATCTCAAATTTCTTTCATAAACCATGTTATAAATAAATATTTAAAAAAAATGTTGTCTCTTCTTTTCTTTCTGTCGTTGTATAATTCGTCTTTCTTTTATATGAACGAAAAAACTTTACCTATGCTGTAAGAATAAAATTGTCATCATTGTTGAGTTCTTTTCGTATGTAAAAGCATAACTATATATATATACACATTATAGAGAGGTAAAGAAATCAATCGAGCATCATTGATGATTTATATTTCAATCGATGGTAAAATTGAATAGACTTTAGCTTTTTTTTTTTCGTAGTTTTCTTCTTTTTTTGTTGACTTCGTACTATTACTACGAAATAAATCGTTTACATTCGATTAGAGAACAAACATTAATGATGACATTGATTTTTTATCATAAATAAATGTATATAAAACATTGAACAATTCTCACTATTCATTTTGTTAAAAGAATTGTTCACCTTCTCTCCCCCCTTACATAGAAATAAATTTATATAAAATTTCATCATTTTTTTCATCTTATTCAATAGAAATTGTAAAATATGCGTAGTAGTAGTCATATAAAGATCCGCCCACAATCCTTGAACATACATATGATCATCTATTCATTTATTTTATATGTATATCTATATATATATATTCAGATAATGATGTACAACAATAAAACAATGATTTAGATTAAATATATACATATAAATAATTATGTCAACATTTCAACAAAATCAATTGAATAGTTTATCTCCAATACTTTTATCACCATCATCAACAACAATAACAACAACAAATCATATATCATTAATTGATAATAGTGATCAAGGTTCTGTTGATTCTGATTATACATCATTAGGTAGTTCAAAATTTTATGCTCATAGTGGTTCAACATCATCATTAAATCGTCAAGGACGTTCACAATCAATAGATGAATTAGCAACATCAATAACAACAAATATACCAACAAGACATTTTAATGGTTTATTAAATATAAATAAATCAAATAATGATCCATTACAATTTGTTAAAATTCATCCAAATCATGAATTAATTGAACGTGCACAAGAACAATTATCATTAGCTGAATCAAGAAAACGTTTACAAGAAAATTATGAATTAAAAAATAATTTAAATGTTAATAAAGTTAATAATGAAGAAAATGATTGGTCTAAGGTAAATTAATATAATAAAACAAAATAATTTTAGTTCATATACTTATTCATTGTTGAGAAACGAAAATGAGAATAAAAGCAACATTTTCACTCTATTTAGTGAATAAAAAAATTTAATAATATATAAATAAGAAGTTTTCTATTTTTTGTAATATTTTTTTCACCTTCATAAATATTTTAACAAGGACTTCGAACGTTAATAAATAAAAATATCCATTCTTATCATTTTGTTTTACTTTCTACTACAAGGCTATATATTTGACATATGCATTATTTAATTATATTTCCATCTACTATATTCATACAAGTCGGAAATAAGGAAAATGTGTTACCTAACCTTGTATCAATAAATTCAATAGTCTCGCTGTTCTTCGGCTCTTGGCTATCCTCTATTGTTTGTATAAAAGAATAGAAATAGTTATATCGTTCATTTATGAAAAAAAACAAACCTTTTTTTTGTTAGGCAACAAGATAAAAAAAAGAAAAGGGACATGAATTTCTATCGTCGTCATTTATTATTATTGTTATTGTTTAAATAAAGAAAAAAAATCATTTATAGGTTTCTCACTTGACATAGTTGTATCAAAAATTTGTATATGTATAAATCGATCGTTTTCTTTTATTCTTTATAAATAGTAAACAAAAGAGAAAGTAAAGAATATAAAACAAAAAAAAAAAAGGTTACATTCTTTCTTCTCTCCTAGTGTGCACAGCACATTGCACTCGAATATAAATCAAAAAAAAAAAGAAGAAAAAGAGAAAGCCTAAAATTGTAACATAGCAAATGAAAAGAAAAGATATGGTAGTCCTACAGTGTTCGTATTCATTTTTAAATCAATTAAATATGTTCTACATTTATTATTAATTCTTATAAATGAATTTTTCAACAATACGTCAAACATCAACAATTATTCCTGTTGATAGTAGTATGATCAATAATTCATCATCACATTTAAGACAGATTGAAGTTTTTGAAGATTATTCACAAGTACGTGTGTACTAATAGTCAAGGTTATTTTATTCAAAATTTTAAAAGGCAACAGTCGTCTCTCATTACTTTTGTTATCTTGGCATTCTTTTGTCTTAGCTCAAAACAGCATTCTGTTCTTCTCTTTTGTCTGTTACTCATCATAGAGAGAAAGAAAAAAGAAAATATACGCATCAAACTTGATGAATTGTGTAAGACGAGTATCTGTACAAGATAAAAAACAAAAGTGTATATGTATATGTAAAATGGGCTGTGGAAGTACGAAAGAAGCATTCGATGATGAAAAAAATGTGAGTCTTTATATGTAGAGAAATTGAAATTACTATTTCAATAACAGAATAGACTTATAGATGTTCAACATGCTTCGAAGTCAATTGAAAATATTTCGATTTTTTATTTGATGAATAAAAATTAAAAATATTTTTTTTTTTAGGCTGTTGATAATTGGCGAAAAAAACGTGAACAAAAACGTTTGAAAAATGTTAATACAGATAATGATCAATCAATATTACCATTCAAAATTGATACTATTATAAAGTAAGAGTAAATATTTTTGATTATTTTTGTTATATAACAAGTTATTTAAATGTAGACCTGAAGAAATAAAAAAACCAATAAATGTATCTCTTCCAAAACCTCAACGGATATTATCATCACCACCAATTGAACCAGTTAAATCAAAAAGTCCTTCACCTCTACGTGTTAAAGTAAACGAAGATAAAAATTTACAAAAAAAATATTTTATGAGTTTTTTTTTTTTTTTTTGATAGGGTCCAGCGAAAATTCGTGAAATATTCATTGAGAAACCTATTGATATACGTGGCTTTGGTTTTAAACTTGATGGTGGTCGAATACAAAATCGACCTATTTTTATTTCAACTATTGAAGAAGGTTTAAAATATTGAAATTTATTATTAAATATAATTCATTATAAATTTCTTTAGGTAGTCCTGCGGATAAAGCTGGTCTATGTATTGATGATGAAATAATATCAATGAATGATGAAAATATTGAAAATATGACATTTGATCAAGTACGAAAAATTCTTAAAGAACGAAATTTACGTGGAAGTATTAAAATGATTATTAGAACATTTGAAGGTAAGATAAAATATATTAAGAAATATATTTGAAATATGAATAAACATATGAAAATATATCTTTAAGAAGTCAAATGACAGAAAATAATCTAATAATTGATGATGTCAGTGGTTAGTTTATTTTTCTGATTTATGAGCTCGATTATTGATAATAAGCTACTTCATCAAAGTATTCATTAAAATATCATTAATGCTTTGTATTATTTTGCTCTGCATAACGGATCTTAAACTTATATATATATCATTCTTGTCGATTTATTTATAAAACAACTATTTCAAATGACTTTCTCATTTATTATTTTTAATAGATGTAGTGGATGATTATTCTCAAACAATGATAATAGGACGTACAATTGATCATAGTCGAACGCCATCACCTCAAAAAATAATTTCAACGCCGACAGTACCATCTATATCTGTTACAGCACCTAAAACTAATATAATGCCATTAGCTACAACAAATGTTCAATCATCTGTTTCTACATCTTTACCTTATAATTCATCTGATATAACAAAAACTATTCCAATACAACAAACACCAACATCATCTTTGAATATATTTGCACCAAAACCATTTCGTTCAACAATTTCAACTAATCTTGATACAAAAATTAATCATGAACCCGTAAGAATTCTTTATGTTTTCTTTTTTTATATCTTTCTCAAGATATTTCTTCTATTGTCCCATAAACTCAGGAGTTAACATTTTCACGAAAAGAATTACTTACTTTAATGGTAATCAACTTCGTTTTTTTTATCTTTCATAAACACATAGTGCATGATAGAAAAAACTATTACTGTGCTATTGTTCTTTTTTTTTTCTTTTGTCTCTATTGAATTCCATCAAAACATGCATGGCTATAAATTTTGTATTATTCAGAAAATGAATCATTCATCGGCAATTGAAGCATTTCGAAAAATGCTTAATTCATCAAATACAAATACATATTTAAAGAATGAGGTAGTTGAATATGTGTGATTAATAATTGCACGTCTTCTACTTCAATAACACAATAAAACACTGTTCACTGCTTTTAGTATTTGATAAATAATAATTTTTGTTTTTTTTTTCTACTTTAATATGCTTCTATTTTTAATCTAATAATGAAAATATATTGCAGGGAATTTTTTAAAATATTGATTATTATTATTAATTATGGGGTATTTAGTGCACGTTTTTATTTAAAAAAAATGATGGAATTCAAATTATTATATTTCTTAGTTTAATTAACTTGTTTATTTGATTTTTTGTTTTTTAAAAGAATATATAATGTAGATTATTCTCATTTTATTTTTCTATCTAGAGTATTTATGATAAAGAACTTCAAGATCTTGAGATTGAATTTGAAAAACAATTAAAAGGCATTAATGAGACACAAAAACGAGAGGTATCATTAGATCACTTTACAATTAGTATAGATAGCAATGTATTATTTTCTTTATTGATTGTTTTACAATAACATACTAATGAATTCTTCAATACTATGCATGACTCTAACTTTTTCTTTATATTGTTTTGTTTGTTCTCATATTACACAGGGGCGTTTTCTTTTTTTTTTCTTCAATTTTTACAGACAACAATTAATAATGAAAAGCAAGAAACAAACATGTCGAAATCACCACCACAGGTCGTAGTTACTACACGTATGTTTTTTCTTTTGTTTTCATTTTGCTTTTAATAAGAAAACGTTTTCAAGTTAAAAATCGCTTTAGAATTCGGACTGTATGAATTAGGAAATTACATCCCGAGTTAATTAAATATCTCACTAATAAATTAGATTTAACATAAAAGGTTTTTCTGAAGGAAATTGGATATAATTCGATGAAGGAAAGCCCATCGAGATGTCTCACTGATGAATTTCGAAGACGTCTTCTCAAAGGTAGGAAAAAAGTCATAATTATAATTAACTTCAAGATAAGTCTTTAACATTCAGAATCCGAATTCAAAAGCGATTTTTAGTTCGGCAAGATTTTCTTGTATATGAATTTCTTTTTTTTCTAGCTCAAACACTTGTTAATCAATCACTACCATTATCATCTGTTGATTCATCTGTACATCGAAATTTGAATACTGATAGTGATGCAACACAATCACGTAATGAGTCTCCTATTGCTCAAGTACGTTCATATGTTGAAAAACAAATGGATCAACTTCAACAAGAACTTGAATTTGGTTTTCCTCGTACAACAAAACTTTCATCAACATCTCATCTTACAACACCTGCACGAGTATTTTATTTATCAATAACAAAAAAACAATTTAATATTTTAATTTTTTTCTAAACATTAGGAACAACAACAACAACAACAACAACAACCGGTGACTATTCCTATTAATTTAACAAATTCTTCATTATCACCAACAATTCAACCAATACAACAAGATTTTTTACGTTCATCATTAAAAAAATCTTCTTCGACACAAAATCATCTCGATCAAATTCCATTAAATCGTACATATGGTTTAAAAATTAATCCTAATGAACAAGTTATTCATTATATTGAACCATATACACAACAAAAATTATCATCAAATTATACAAAACATTCTATACCTGATTTACCATCAATGACAACAATAAATCGACCAACAACAACAACACATTCATTAGAAGAAACAATAAATGAATTACGAACAACAATGCCTGAATCATATACATCTCAAACACAAATTATAAATCAACAACAAAAAAAAGTTACAATTCAATTAGGTGGTAAAATACCACCACAAAGAATAACAAAGTAAAATTCTTTTTTTTTTTGTTTTTCTTTTTTAGTAGTAATAAAGTATAAAATTATATGAATATATTTTATTATAGTAAACAACTTCATGCAACATTAAATCAAGCACCACGTAAAACTCATTTTGAAGATCAAGCATGGATTAATGATGATCAACGAAAACAAATGTCTATGAAAAGTAATGGTCGTCGTATAGCACCACTTGCACCACATCATCAAGAATTACAAATATCTAAACAATCAATACATAATTATCATGATCATCATTTAAGAAATGGACAACAAAGAAATTTTGATATATCTCCAAATCGACAACATCGAACGTTTGTGTTTTATTTAAATTTATAACAATAAAATTCTTCTTGTTTTTTTTTTTATATAGAAAATCACCAGTTCGTACAATGAGTAATAATCCTAATGAACGAGTTTTGTCAGTTAGTGGAAAATTACGTTGTTCTAGATGTAATGATGAATTAGGTAAGTAATAAAATTTTAAGTTAATTTTGTTTTTTTTTTATTTTCTTATAGGACAAGGTTCAGCTATGGTTATTGAATCACTTGGATTATATTATCATCTAGAATGTTTTCGTTGTTGTGTTTGTAATATTCCACTTTCATCATCATTTGAAGGTACTGATGTTCGTGTACGCAATAATCGACTTCATTGTCAAAATTGTTTTTCCGATGAAAATGGTAAGAAAATATCGTTTTATTTATTTATTTATTTATTTATTATCTTATAATTAAAATTTTATAAATGAGCGATTTCCTTCCCTGACTATTTTCTTAGGAGCGTGGAAATCAAACGTAAGAAGAAGAATTTATCTTTCTTCTTCATTGTTTCTTTGTTTTTTGTTGTTGTTGTGTATTATTGCCAAACTATTTTAATGCTTTAACACATAACACTTTATACACATATATTCGCATAAGATATATTACAATGATATTGTGTATTGTGAAATAGAACGTTTGTGTCTAAAGGTTATGTTAATTGAATCTATTTGAATCAATACTAGTATTTAGTATTCTATAATGAAAATGATTTCAAATCTTTATGTCAAAAATAATCAACATGCTATAAACGCTCAGCAACAACTAATAGTTCCAACTGAAATTCGAATTGTATTTTTCGTATAGTGATGCACAATGTTATATCTAAACGATTACTGTTGATGTACTTTCAATCTGAAAATTTCGATTGTAAAACAAACAGTTGAATATCTCATAAAATATAATTTGAAAATAAAATAATTTCTACAGTACACATATCATTTGTAATTCACTGAAACACGCTCTTTCATTTTTCACAAATCAAAAATTTCAATTTCTCTATTTTATTCTCAGCATAGACAAATACTCGAGAAAATATTGTTCATTTATGCTAATAAATTTTTGTTTTGCTTTTTTCAGGAAGCTTTATTTTAGTTTCTTCTTGTCTATGTTATTTCGATGAGGTTTGCAATTATTTTTATCATATTGAGGGATATTTAAAAAACAAAAAAAATTTATGAACATGATCTTCTCCTTCCTTCTTTTACGCATGTTCAAACTAATAACACTAAAATAAATTTTTTCTTAATTAATATAATATTATTTCTTTTTTTTTTTTCTATTATATTTTAGGTGTGAAATTAAGTGCCGTTTAATAACATCGAATAAAAAAATCTACTTTTTATGATTAATCAATTGTTTCTGAAATCAATATGATTTTATTTCTTATATGAATTCGTATACATATGGAATCGACATTCCACACCGATATGTGGTTTTTGCTCAAAAAACAAAAGAAGAACGGATGAAAACTTTCTTCTTAAATGTAGATGTGAAAACTGTTTCTTGTATATTAACAAAGGGTGCCGTTTGTTCTTTTTTTTTTTTTTTATTGTAAAGTTCTTGTTTTACTATATACATATATATATATACATCCATACATACATATGAAGAGGCGAACAGTTTTGTTTCTTGCTTTGTTGTTACTGTTGCAGTTCGTCTAGATTGATTATTGTTTATTTCTTTTCTTCATTTCTATTTTCAGTTTTATATCTACAAAGAAAATGAAAAAAAAAAAGAAACCGTTCTGTATCTGCTAATTGTTAGATTTTATTGTTTTTATTTACTCAGCAAAAAAAAAATACATAGATAGAATAAGTCATTTGAACAAAAAAAAAACAACAAAACAAACAAATAACGTAATTTTTGTAGAAATGCTCTATCAAGAAGCCTATCGCCTTTGGCAAATACATCAAAAAACTAATCGATCAATACGAAGTCTTGTTGCACAAAGTTTCTATAAGGTGAAAAGTTATTTTCTTTTGTTTTTAGTAATATTTGGAGTCTGTTATCTTTTGTTTCTCTTAATTACATATAGAATAAACCACAATTATTGGCACTTCTTTCAAAAGTTATTCAACATCGTACTTTATTACAAACAATTATTGATCGATGTCAATTATTAGAAAAAGAAAAATTTTTATCTAAAGATTTAGCACTTATACTTATTTATGATCAAGTTTTTGGAACACGTGTTAGAGGTAAATTTAAGGTTCGTATATTTATTCATATGATATTTTTAAATAGGTTATTTGAGATAAACTTAGATTATTTTTATATAACAGTATGAACAGAAGTGACAGTGCTTATCGAAATCACCGTAGACTGATACATTGAACTATTAGATCTGCACATATAGAATAACGATGATAGTTGAATTTTTATAAAGCATGACTAACGAGGGAACCTCTTCTTTTGGTTTTCATGATTTGTTATCTATCGATATTATATAGTGTTCTAATGAAACTCAAATCCTTTTAAAACATTGCATAGTATCTATAGGCCTGAAATCATTGAAATCGAAAGAAGACATCTGAAGAAGTTTATTCATTATTTTATTATTAGATATATATCACTACAGTGAGTATACGTAACTATTTCTAGTACAAATTTAGTGTTTCTTAAAAAAACAACTTGATATATTTACTAGTTTTTCTTTGTATTTTAAAAACAAAGAAGTTTTACTTTGTTTTATATAAAATTAAACACATTTTTCAAATCATTTTGATGTCTTCGTCTTCCTTTAGGGTATGTTAAAACGTAATCAATCATCTATTGATAAATGTATTGAAACACTTTTGAATGAACAAAATTTGTCTTCCATATCAGAATTAATTGAAACAACATCAAAAATAAAAAATTCATCAAATGAAATTCCTCGTTATGTTCGTATAAATCTATTAAAAACTACAGCAAAAAAACTTCGATTAAATCTTAAACAATTATTATTTAAAAAGATTAAAAATGTGTGAGTATTAATCTTTTTCTTCTTATCAACATCAAAACTTTTTCTTAATCAATGATTCATATCTGATTAATAGAGAAAGAAAATTACATAAATTTTCATTTTCTTCGAGGAAAAAAAAAAAAAAAAACATCCACTAGAGACATTATCGTTAATCGATGCTTCTAATTTATTCATGTCCAACGACGTTTTGCACGAGCGCATATCTAAGTAGTAAATCACACACAAGAATCATATTACATTCCAAACACCGCCTATCATTAACAGTCATTCATCGTCATTCAATCGTTAATGACTTGTCATTATAAATGAAGTTAAGTTAATTCATCATCATATATATAGACATATAACATGAAGGTGTTAAAAAGATACTTAAAATTTTCTTACAATTAGTAATATTTCGTTTACAATCTTTAAATCCATTCTTTGATGAAGCATAAAAACACCAAAAAAAACAAAAACAATTTTTTTTTTTCTTAAAATGATTTATGTTCTATAGGGTTTTTTTTTGCTCAATGGCAAATATGTGACGAGAGATAATTGCTTATGGGAATTATACGATACGCAAGACAATCATCTCGTTTTTTTCCCCCCCATGAAAATCATTGATCTCTTTCACTTTCAAATCATAATAAGTCAATTGCACATGTTCGCAATTTAACAGAAACAAAAATAGAATCATATTACATAACAAATTTGTTCGATGACTGTTTTATGTTAAGTGTTAACCGCGATTGATCACAGACAGCAAGAGATAATGGGATTATTTCACTTTATTTTTATACAATTCTAAGAGTTAATTATCCAAAGAACTTGACTAATACAGATATTTCTCTAGATTTCATATCGATTAAGATGAAAAAAAAAAAAGATCATAAATCAAATGTGTATCTTCTCAATAAAAAATCATTCAAGTAGAATCATGAATCAGATTGAACTCGACTATTTCTAATTCTTCGAAAAATTAAGAACAATTGCACTAACAGATTTTCTCGCTGTTTTTCTTTTTGTTTTATACATTCATTGAATCTGACTATCTAACATTTTTTGAATTGATATGACCTAAAAGAACGTCTAATTCGAAGTCATATTTATTGACTTGTCTTTCCTTCTCCTGGACGTTTAATTTGAAAAAAAAAACACCAATTTCTAGAAAGAACAAGGTTATTCAAATATATCAAAAATAGAAATGAGTAAACACATACTTTCATAAAACAACAACATCAAGTTTTTGTTTTTTTTTGTTAATACAAATAGTACTGAAAAATCTAATAACGTTCATATTATTGTCCAAGAAAATAATTATCCGTCCATGTTACCTAATTTTTAATTATTATAAGTGTTTGGACGTTCACTCTTTATTAGAGCCCTTCACCGGGTCCAAAAACGACTTGCTGGACCCGGACAAAGAAATGTCAACCGTTCCATCATTTTTTGTGCTAATACATTATTCAAACGTTCATTTTGTAGGGCAATACATTCTCTTTCACCTCATCTATTTAGAGAAGCATTAGAGTCCTTCATAGCCGAAATTTTTTAATAGAAAAAGTTCGGGTCCAAACTTGGACCCGCAATTTTTCTATTAAAAACTTTTGACTATCATGAACTTTAATGCTTTTCTAAATAGATGAGATGAAAGAGAATGTATCGCCCTACAAAATGAACGTTTGAATAACGTATTAGCACAAAAAAATGATGGAACGGTTGACATTTCTTTGTCTGGGTCCAGCAAGTCATTTTTGGACCCGGTGAAGGGCTCTACTCTTTATCTAGACATTCTTTACATAGGATCTCATAAAGGGCATATTTTATAATCAAAAAGTGGTGTGATATATTTCAAATTTCTTCTTTGTAAAATACTTATTGATTAACACTTGTTTATCAATCATCAAGAATATAAGATTTTAATCTTGTTTTTTTTTGCCCCTCTCGAATTATTGAATGATTAAAGAGATTTTATACAATGATCGATCTTATAATGGATTACATTGTATATCTTTGATGATCAATCAATTCAATAGTCTTTTATTATTTATACTTGTAATTTATTATTATTATTATTTTTTTTTTGTTTATACAAAATAAGTCAATTAAGATGTAAAAGATTTTTTAACATGTACTGGTATAGGACATAGAACTTTATTTGTTTCACAATGTGCAGAAAATTGTCTTAATTGTCCAGCTTTAATACGTTTCCATTTTGCACGACGATTTTGCCACCAAATTTTAACTTGAATTTCTGATAAATGTAATGAACGAGCAATTTCTGAACGTTCAATAAGTGATAAATATTTTTTTTGTTGAAATTCAGCTTCTAATTCAATTAATTGTTCATTTGAAAAAGCTGTTCGTTTACGACGAGTTGATGATGCTGCGGATGATGATGATGATATATTTGTTATTTTATTTATAGATGATATTGATGAATTATCATCTTCATCACTATCACTTGTTGTTAAACTATGTGAAAGTTGATTATCTAAATAGAAAAATCATGAAACAAAAAAAAAACTGATATTAATTAAAAATTTTACTTGATTTTATTTGTTCTTGTTGTAATTGATTTAAAAATGTTTGAAATAATGGATTTATATAAAATGTTGATGAAGTTTTAGTTTCATGTTGATTATTAGCATTATTAAGTAATGCATCAATAGAAAAATTCTTTGACATGATGATGATGATGATGTTGAGAGATGAAGAAGTGATGTGTCGTATTTTGTTTTTTTTTTTTTAAGTAGAATATATCAAAAAAAGAGAAGAGAGAAGAAAATTTTTTTCTTATTGGTGGAAATATTCTATTGGATAAAGAAGAATGAACAGTTGATTGACTGACTGATGTTTGTTTTCATATTCACACCATCTCCATTTCAAGGTGCCGCATATTTAACTGTTAAGAAATTAGAGATCAATCATCAATATATAAGATTAACATTATTTTAATGAAAATAGATTTTTCATGTCTTTTTATATACTTCGAGGTTAGTAAAAGAATATATTTAAAAAAATCATTCGTATAATTATCGAAGAGATAATCATGAAAAATTTGATAAGTAGGTATCGTTTATTCATCGATGAAGTGTGAAGAGCAAGTGTTAGTGTGCAAATTTAAATGTGTTTTGTTTGTTTATTTGTTCGAATAAAACAAAAAACAAAAAAAAAATTAGCCTTTCATCCTATGATATTAAATGCATAATTAACAGCTTATGTTCGGCATGATTGTTCATATGTTCCGCTGTAAATTGTATCAAACGAATTGATGATGAGAGAAGTGCGTTATTTTTTCTTCGAAGAAAAAAAAAAAACAACATTCATTTAACTATAACTGATTGAAAATTTTTTTGTGATGTTAAATCAGTGCTAGAAAATATTTTTATGCAATCAATTTTTATTTCAATTCATATTATAGAAATGAATTATAAATATGAGAACATAATCTGACAGTTATATGATGATAATATAAAATAGCAATTAACAAATTATAGACATATTTTGTTTACATGTTAGAATTTGCATATATCTTGAGAATGAAATATATAAATGAGAAAATTTATGTTTTTGAACCTCTTCAAATGTCATCTTTTTATTTCATATCCGAAAACTTGGGGATCTGTACAAAAAAAAGTGGTTTTTCAGATGATTTGAGTAGAGTATAATAATTAGTAATATTTGTGCAAGACTGCGATATAGGACAATTAGAAAAAGTTGTCTCTATTGAATCTGAAGATTATTCTTACTTTAGTTTAATTACAAATATTTTTAAATTCTTTGTGTTATTTTAGAACAAATTTTCGTAAAGGTGTTAAACGTTTATCAAAAACAAAATATTTTATCGATCCAGATATTGAACATGTTCTTGTCTTTCCTTCTGGTACAAAATTTTTTGATTATGATATTTATCTCAATCGACATATTTTACTTATGGATAAGGTGTAAGATTCTTATACTCCATAAAACTTATTTCTTTTTTTTTTTTGTATGTGTGTATTTCAGGCTAGTTGTTTACCATGCTTTGCATTATCTCCACCACCAGGCAGTACTGTTCTTGATGCTTGTGCTGCACCGGGTAATAAAACAATTTGTTTAGCAAATTATTTAAAAGATAATGGGTTTGTATTCTATTCGAATTAATTTTGTTTATATTAATTGTTTATTATGATTTCTAAAGTACTCTTTATGCCATTGAAATGAATAAACGTCGTTTTAAAGAACTTAATACTAATCTGAAATCAGCTGGTGTTACTTGTGCACATACATTAAATGGTGATTTTTTAAATATTACAATACCATTTAATGAAATAGATTATATTTTACTTGATCCATCTTGTTCTGGTTCGGGTATTCGTAATCGAAATGATGATACAGAAATTATTGATGAACAACGTTTAGAACGTCTTGCTGCATTACAAATACGTATGATTACATATGCATTAACAAAATTTCCAAAAGTAAAACGTATTACATATAGTACATGTTCGATACATCAACAAGAAAATGAACAAGTTGTTGAAACAATTCTTGATCAATTTAGTGATACATTTCAGGTTTAATAAACAAAATATTTCCTTCTAAATTTTATTATATGTTCTTCTTTCTTTTTCTTTTTAAGCTTGTTGATTTTCTACCTCAATGGCCAAGTCGTGGACAAACAGAAAGGACACGAGCATGTTTACGTGCTTCACCAGAGGATACATTAACAAATGGATTTTTTGTTGCTTGTTTTGAACGAATAATAAAAATGGATATTTAATAGGAAATATATTAAAACAATTGAAACATGTTCGAATTGTGTGACTTCAGAGAGATAACAAGTATATAATATAAGGTTTTTTATGGTTATTCAAACATGTGTGTGATTGTAGTTGTAGAGGGAACTAAAATTCAATCTTCACTTAAATTCCGATTGAACTTTTTAAATCGTTCGGTTTTTAACGATCTATAAGGTTTTAATGATTAAGAGAGATGAGCCTGGAAGTTTCCCACTTATGAATTTCTAGTTGTTGATAAAATCGCAGTTCTAAATATAAACCTAATACTTTCTCATCATAAGATGAGAGCATCAGATCATGCTGAATCAATTTATTATGCCCGCTACTAATTTCACCGCAAAATTAGCTTCACGCTAATGTAAAACGCTGCAGATGATACACACACTAGTGTGTTTTCCAAGCATGTATCTTGAGGTTATATCGATGCTTCTTTTAGAAAGTATTGAACGAAATATTTTTGAATGCTTCTAGATTTGCACTGTTCTAGTTCTAAACAAGTTACAACTATGCAGAAAAAACAGTTCTAAGATGTTGTAAAAAACGAAGTCATCAGAGGCATACGATCGCAATCATGATCATCAATCATATGATTTTAGACAGTTCTTTACTCTAAAACTCATAAAGCATAACAGAACTAATTTTGTCAGAAAGTTTAATGGTTATTAGAATAAAATAAATCAAAAACTTGAGAGATTATTTTTTATTATTTCAATAGAATGATTGATTTTCAAATTCGAAAAAAATAAAATAAATAGAATGCGTTCAAAAACAATAGAAACAATTCTTTTTGATTAATTGTAATGTTTCATTGAGAGTTTTCAAAGATATTTTATCTGAAAATACTTTTCATCATATTCCGGTTTAGATAGAAAAACAGATTTCATATAAATTTTTTGCGAGCACTTTCAAAATCACCAATTCAAAAAAATTCTTTTACTCCAAAAATCGGGTAACTTGAAGAACAATGTGTCTGCAAAGCTAGTTGGACAATGAAATGATTCTTGCTTTTGCCTAATCGTGAAAAAGCTCTTGTCATTACTTCTTAACTTCATCAAAGTTTTAATTTTCGAAAATTTTATTGAAATTTTTAAGATACTCACAAATAAAGTATGACATGAAATTCAATTATTCATTAAGTAATGAAATAAAACAGTGAAACAAAAAAAATAGAAATTTCACATTTAATGAAGGTTTATCGAAAATAACGAACTATAAAACACTCTCAAAACTCATTAGATAATCAAACAAAGAACAAATCAACTTTCAATTTTATATTTTGCAAAATAACCATTTCATTGACAATGGACTTGAAAGAATACTTCAAAGATATTACATTTTTCCTAATCGCTCGAGTCTTGGATGCGAGTATGAGTTTAAGAGAGGAGAATACTCGCACGATCAACCATACTCAGGCTCAGATCTACATTCACACCTACGCTCCAAACTACGAATTCAACTGGTGATTCTTGTTCGACGGTAGAGCATATCTTTGATTCGATAGAAGTTGTAACTGGCTGTGGTTTCAGTTGCTTTCGCTTTTTTTTGTGAACGATATTTTCGAGTTCTTTGAAGGGACACTCGTTTTGATATCATTTAATCGACTGGGAGTATTGTGACTTCATGGTTCTGAGATCGTAATGCAGCAGCATGAGTGGTGATGAGTATTTCTTTTATAGTTGTTATCTGAAATGATATGAGGTTTATGACTAAGATATAGACGAATATTTTCTAATCTACAAGTTACACTAGCAAATGCACATTGGACTCTCGCAAATTCGCTAATGTGCGGTTGGCGAAAGTCTTATTGGCGAAATTCGAGTAAGCCAAACGTTCTAGTGATTGAATCTTTTGTTCAGGTGAAAATATTTTACAAAGATCTTCGACATAAAATATAACAAAGAACGTGGTTGATTCTCAACAGTATTGATGGTATTTATAATACATTAAATATTATAGAAATTTCCATAACTACTTGGATTCTCTCATATTTATGTAAATTAATGTGAGTTTGTTTAATATAGAGCTGTCAATATTTGAAACTTTTAATAAGTTAGCGTAAATTTTCATGATCTACTATTTTGTTCGTCTAAGATATCTTGAATTATTTTTCATATTTACTAAAAAAAAAAATAACATTCCTACTGTCGCCTAGATCATGAAATTTGTTTTTTATCTTTAGAAATTTAAACACGACTGAAAAAGAAAGAGAATGAATAATATATGAGTGATGTCTATAACATATATGTTCTATGACACAACTTACAAATATGTCATTTAAATCAATTAATCGATCTTTTAAAATATTTATTTATTTATTCGAGACTTAATACAATTCAGAAGTATTTTTGTTCGATGTTCTTTTCTCGAATTTCTAAAGCATTATATTTTATTTTTATTTGAAATAATTAATTCGTATAATGATTCGAATGCAACATATCATCCTATTGGATGGTGCTAGTTAAGATAAAAACTATGAATATTTTCATTAAATATAGATCGAATCTCTTTTTAATCAGAACCTTTGCGAGCGTTTGCATTTTTTTCAACATCTATATCCATATCAAAGCTCTGCTGCATTCTTTTTTTCTAATCGTAGTGATCCTCTAAATCATTTCATCTGTATCAACATACCAATTACACGATTGTTTCAGAAATCAGAATATCCATTAAGGATTCTCATTAAAATTTACATATAATTTTAAAACAATGCACTTGTTTTCAAATGAAATATGTTATTGTAAAAGATCTCATAGAAATTCACTCAAAAGATATTGAAGAACAACAAAATACTGATGAACATTATATTCAATAAGAATACAATTATAAATAAATGTTCAAGTATTTGCTTAAAATCAACATTTTATCAGCTTTTTTTACAATTTATTTTGAATGAAGTGTATAAAAGGAAAAACAAACAAAGTATGATCTCGTTTAGCAATAAATTGGTGTGTCGGTTCAGCAACGATCAACGATTTCGGACGAAACTTCCCCAGGTTAATTGAGTTTGTGTTTGAATCTGTTCAATTGCCAATTGAACATCTCGTGAAACAAGTTCACAAAATTCCAATGCACGAGTTTTGTCTATTACTATACCTTTTAACTCCAATGATAAATAATAAGAATATTTATAATAATCAGTACTAAGCCAATTATTTTCACATTCTTCAGTTATCCGGGCATACATATATGCGTTAATCTTTCGAGAACATTCATCGACGAAAGATTTATTGAGTTGAACAATTGCTGATAGATTTTCACCAGGTTTAGCCCACATTGGACATTTTTTCAAATATTCATTTGATATATAGTCACTAAGTTCTTCTGCTTTGATTTCTTTTACATTGTACTGATTTAATTTCTGTTGCACGGAACTCCGTAAGTTCATACGAAATGTATCCCAAGTTTTCTTTTTTTCAGGTCCAAGATTTCCAGAAACAGAAATAGTATCATCGAAACTGATCACTTTCACCACGTCTTGCTTCTGTAAGAAATTCAGGAGACTACCAGGTATACGATTATAAACTTCAATTAAATTTTGATGATGTTGAGTAGGTAATACTTGTATTAAGTCTTGACATGATGCTGGAACTAATGCCATATGAATTATTGATATATTATTTAAAATATAATAAACACTTGGTTATAACAATGACGAGTATAGTAATCGTTCAAGGCAAACTTGTATAGTGTATACAATATATTTTGTTTCAATGAAAGTATATCGACAAGATAAACATAGTGATATGTATATATATATGTATAAGATTATTATTTGGAATCTTCCTTCTGCTTTCTCCTCTGATTGTCATGTGACTTATCTAAAGGACTGCACCAAAGATGAATTCTATCATTTGGATTTTTCCAGATCTTTTTCTCTTTGGATTAATCCTTAATCTTGTAGATAGAAATTTGTGTTTTTTTTCATTTTCCAGCTTAAAGCCAATGTATGGATCTGGAAGAAAAACAAAGCGATAAAGGTTATCATTATTTGTAACTTTTATGTGAGTCATAGTTACCATCAGAGGATGCAATAGAAGGAAAAATCCGAATAATAATCTTACTCGCACATACACACATATATATATAAATATGTGTATTTTATCGATATCACATCCAAGTATTTATTTTATTTTAAATAATATATCAATAATCAATATGATTTCAAATACATTAAATCAATTGCTGTTTTTATTACCATCTGCTATTCATGATAAAACAATAGAAATTTATAACCGTATTCCTGGTACATTAATGAGATTTTTGGGTACGAATACAGTAACAAAAGAAGTCGAATGCAAAAATGGATCTTTGATTACTGGAAAATTAACAGTAACTGATGACAATGAATATCCAACTAACTTACCTGGAAATTTCGATGATTTTTCAAATGAAACTCGCTACAATAATTACGAGAAAAAATCATCACGAAAAAATGCTTCCGACACTGCATCTAACAAATATATGGATAAGAGCCCCGATATGTGCGTTAGCTATACTTCATCTAATGCACGTACGATACCAATTGAATATAATAAAGATTGGGATATTGTTCGTCAACATTTAAAAGATTCGATACAACGAAAGTTTTATGAAAAACAAATAATAGAAATAAATCCTGATCATGTTGCTGATGAAATACTAAAAAGATATCTTCAAGAATCTTCAAATTCGAACAAACAACGTAAAAATTCTTCATCAATAATTAAATTTAATGAAACATATTGTATAAATAGTGAACAAAAAAAGATCAATATCGGTGAATATAATGTCACTGCTTACATAATTCTTGAAAATGAAACATCATGGAACATGAAACATCGAACATACGTTAGTTATGATTACAAGCTTGAATTGAATGGAATATCACAAGATTCAGATAAACTAAATCAATTCAATCAATTGGTTGCTACAAATGATGTTTCAACTGCAATCCAACAAATTCAAGGGCAAACTCAATTAACATGGCAAAGCTTTTTCAAACCGCCTCAATTGTAGTCCGACGAACATATTAATTTATTGCTAAACTAGATACTACTTTGTTTTTCATTTATACATTTTATTTAAAATAAATAAAAATCAAATAAAATGCTGTTTTGATGAAAATATTTCATCATCTGTTTACAGATATTTTCAATGAAACGTCTTTGAGTAATATGCTGCTCTCTTCAAGTAAGAAAATGACCTATCATCGGAAGATTATTATTTTTTTTGCAATAGTTTCTAGAGAAACTAAAATTTTATATAACCCGTAAATATTTTGAAAAAAAAACTACTGTGATAAACTAATAGCTTTGACAAGCTATATCTGCTTGTCCAACCGTAATATAATGACGTTTTGTTCACAGTAAAGCCATCAACAAATTAGAATGCTTCAGCTATTGTAATATGTCCATCAAAAAAGTCGTTTTTTTAACAGTCTCTGCACCACATCTCAGCAACTCAATAATTGAAAAAAAAACAATTAATTTTTTTTTGTTATCAAACTTATGTATGGTAGTTACTCATATTGGGGCTTAATTATTATAAATAACTATTCGTTTACAATACCAATTACTAGCTCGGTTGCTTGTCATAAGCTAAGTTGTGTGAATGCTGTTTTATTAGCAAAGCAGTAGTTTATACAGAATCAATAAATGAACAAATATTTTGTGTTTTCTTTTGCAAGTAACATCGTATTATTTCAAGAAAAGGTTTCTTCATCTTTTACATAATCGAGTCTGGATTGCATCTATTAGATCTGATGAATATAAAAACACTTTTCAAATGAAGAAGCTTAAGAATTGTTTAATTTTTTTTTTCTATTAGCTGTGTCTCAAAATCTTAACTAACATTCTGCTCTTAAGATCAACATGATATTGTCTATATTGAGCTTATATATCATGATGAACTTGAATAGTAAAGAAAGTCAATAAAAATCAGAAATTAATTTCAAAAACAGATTTTCTAAAGATCGGACACGAAGTGGTCTTCTACTATATTGATGGCTTGACTTTTGATTTTTTTCAACTAAACGATCAATTAGGAAATTTATTGTTTCCTCAAAACATTCACACCTCACACATTCCAACTCTACTATGAGATTAAATGCGAAAACAAGGAGAATTCATGAGGATTTGATTCAAGGACTACTAACGAGAGAAATCAATGAATCATCGATTTTGAATAGCATCACTCATAGTGTTTCGTTTGTTGTTAATCCTTTTCTTTTGAACCTGATAATAATAACTTCGAAATAGAACAAGTGACGAAGAAAGCAGACAACCAAAAGGCTATTTAGACTGACTCCTAGAGTTGTTCGATGATGAGCTCTAAAAGATGATAGAACTGACAAATGTAGCTCGAACAAGTTTGGAGACAGAGACTCATTGTCTCGTTTCCTATAATCATATTTTTTGGATAAAACTAAAGCATACACACATTGTACTATTCAATAGATTGACATCGACAAATTTTTCTCATGTTTCATGGCTATGCATTCATAAAGTTCAATTTTACTGTTAGGCGAAACATGGAGTGAATCTTAATTTAAGAATGAAAAGAAAGTCATTTTTTTTTCATCTATTTATTTATTTATTTTATACATAAAAGCAAATATGAATGTTTATGTTACAGCGTTGGAGCAAAGAGTACTGGTAAACAAATAAAAGCACACACCGTAGAGGCACCAACGGCAGTGGGTGGTCCAGCAGGGCCAGCGGCGGCTACACCGGGAAGCGTCCATTCCATGCATTTTCCAAGACACGTAGCATAAGCGAGTGGTCCTGCTATTGTACTTGTTTGTAATAAGCAAACAATCAATAAGATAAATATTAAGTTTCTAAATAAATATCTCATTGACATTACTTGGATTTGATGTGAATTGAAATAGAATAAGAACAAATGGATTATATTCGTTGAAAAAATTTTTTTTTCTCTTTGAAACTATGTTTTTTCAAGCCTTATATACCGTAGGAATTTCTATTTTTACGATATTTCTCTGTATTTTTTTTTGTTGTTGATTCTTCTTCGTTTTGGTAAAATTCAAGTGTGTATTGCTTGCCATTCCAACAAGTCAATGCTCTTTTTATCATATGAATCATTTATATATGATATTTTCCTTTTCTTTCTTCTGCTCTATCATCATAGATAGATATATGACACATACAATAAACACATGTCTTTTCTTTTCTTCTATCGATAGAGTATAGGAATTTTTTCATTTCAGCATATCTTCTTACAAGTGTTTCTAGGTTTTTCTCCTAGTTCCGTTCATCGTACGTCGTTGTTGTTTCAAAAATAAAGATTAAGATTCAGTATTGATCTATTAGATCAAACTTCTTTAACAGTTCTAGATTATATTTTGTTCTTGTATTTTTTTTTCATGCTTCCTATAGCAGAATTGAAAGCGACTGATGCAGTTTGAACGAAATTTCGAGCAATTCATTTGTGTGTGGTGACAATACATTAAACAATTTGGAATTTTATTCTGATTCGAACATCGTATCTATGGTTTGGGGTAAATTTTTCAGAGACCTGTTTAAAATAAATTACTTGTCGATAGTATTGACTACCATATTTCTTTTTGTTTTATTGTCCTAACAAGCAAATAATGTTTTCTTTTAACAGAAATTCGCTCTTGATTATTTGACTTGTCTATGTATTTTGCCACTTCAATACTTAGACTGGTATTAATTTAGATATATTTTTTTTATTTCGATGACTGATATTATTAGTTATCATGAAATATTTTGCCACTTGAAGTTGTTCTAAGTCAGAATAGTCGTTCAACGAGAACATCTTGGGCTAAGATATTGAGATTGAATTCTTTTTGCGCTTGAATTATATCAAATGTAAAAAGATTTATCAGTAAAACATTAATAGAATAAACTATTTCGGTCTTAACATCAAGAAAAATTTTGCATAGTAGTCGTCTATACTAATGAAGAAATGATGTTTTCCTATGATGTTTCTTTAAATCATCTACAGGGTGTCCCATAAGTAACAAGACAAGGAAAAAAAGTTTGAATATCTCCATTAGGGCTCGACCAAATGGGCTCAATTTTTTATCAAGGATAGAGGCATCTGCACACTCCAAATCCATACGAACAAGGTGAATGAGAACCTTCGTTAAGTATCGCTAGTGACCTCAACAATACAATTTTTGCTTTGTCACTGGTAAGAAAAAACCAATATACAGGATAGTGCAAAAGTCACTTTATCGAAAAGAAAATTAAATATTTCCATTACGGCTCGAGCAACCGAGCTGATTTTTTTACCAAAAATAGAGGCATGCTTATACTTCAAATCCATACAGACAAGCTTAGTGAGGACCTTTGTTAAGTATATTTTTTTATTTTCCTGTCTGTGAAAAAGTAAAAATTTTATTGTTGAGGTCAATAGTGATACTTAACAAAGGTTCTCACTCACCTTGTTCGTATGGATTTGGAGTGTGCAGATGCCTCTATCCTTGATAAAAAATTGAGCCCATTTGGTCGAGCCCTAATGGAGATATTCAAACTTTTTTTCCTTGTCTTGTTACTTATGGGACACCCTGTATAATCAAATTGAAAAGCTTTTTAATCAAAAATCATTCAAAATTATTTTCAAGAAAATTTCTTGAAATAAGTTAATATTGCGTAATGGCAGCAAACCTGAATATTAAACTAAATATTTGTTTTAGTGAGGTACATTTTGAAAGAAAGCATCGAACTACATAGCAACTATGAAATTTATTTCTACACTTTTATAGTTAAAAATTAAAAAAAAAAACTTTGTTTCTCATTACATAAAACAGTGGAAAACAAGAATCAAAGATTTGATGATATGCGAGCAGTTTGAGCACAATATAATCGCTCTTTTCAAGGAGAGCATGTTAAAAACTACCTGCTACCTATTGGAATACGTTCTGTCTTTACTCATGATTCCATTTTACTTCGTTTCGTTACTAGGAGAACAACATTCTCAGTGATGAGTATCTGAAAAAAGTATTTCACCCAAAACAGATGAGTGTTATATTGGAGTGATATACATCAATATAATTGTAATGTTAATAAAAAAGAAAAAAATCATTTTAAAAAATATGTATATAAATGAAGATATCATAAAGCTAATTTTAATCTGATTGATATAATTAATTTCTCTGTAATAATTCAAAAACTTCTAAAAGAAAGTTGTTTTTAAGAAATGAAGTTTGCTGTTATAAACAGAAAATAAAACATCAGATACCAAAACACAATCGGTCAACGTGATCCTGATAGAGATTCTATTAGTAGCCTTGATGGACAAATGAAAAGGTGCTATACAAAGTGTATATAAATAGAAATAATAACACTGATATCACTATAAAGACTCATCCCTGGACAAATACTACTAAGACAGAAAATATAAATAATCTTATCGATGTCATGACAACACTCTTTCCAATATCATGCTCACGTCTCTAATCATGTACTCAAGAAACTATCATACATCAATTCAACAATCTCCAATTAAGCTTGAAAACCTTTTACATTGTTCTTGATCAAGTCATTTAATGAGAACAAATGTCTGATCCAATGAAGAGTTTGAGAAATTTTGCATTGTTTGATGTATGTTTCATGCCACGACGAACGAATGCATAGGTATTTGAAAGTATTTTCTACGCTTTGCATTAGAATTTTATTAGATATTGTGAAGTCATTTTTACTTTTTGTATTCCACAATTGTTTGCCTAGAAAGAATTACAGACTAAGTTGATAGTCAACGAAATAATTCATCTGTTAATAGAACACTTGCTATTTTTTTACTGAACATAGTCATACATTTAGCATATATGATAATAACGGTACAACTATCCGTCTTTTTTTTTTTAATCTCATTCATTAATCTTCAACCAAGTTGAATTTATCTTTGCAACAGAATAGATAGAGACGAGAGTTTATTTTATTTGTTAACTATATATTTTTTATTTATTAAATCTAGTAAAACAAAAGATTAAATGAATGACCATATTCTAAATGATATATGAATCCGAATCA